CAATCAGCGCCCGTGTTAGATAGTTATTGATTTTTCAACCTATTCAAACTTTGATTGTTATGTACAGCGTTAACTTCCCCTGCAAATGTTTGGTCTGATGAAGAGTTGCTGAAAACAATTGTTTGTCATAAAGTGACTTCTAATATTAACCATGGGAATATTTGCGGGACTTCTTTTCAACTTGAAAACATCAACCGAGTTTACCCTATGCTCGTTGTGCCCTGGCTATTCGTAGTCAATCGATTCTGATAATGTTACTAACAAACAACTGATAAAGTGTCCATTACTACCGTTGAAATATTTGGATGCATCTTCTCCCCGGTATAACATCCATTTAACCTTTCTTGACGGCCGTTTTTGGCTCTACCCTCAACATCACGATTAATTCGATGATGCCAATGATGAAATCCGAAATCTGCTTGTTAACAGGAAGCTGCTGAGCAAAGCCTACATCGATGGCGAAACTGAAGCAAACATGGCTGCCTCCTTCAGGATGGCACAAAACTATTCACAGCAGTGACAACCGCAAGCTATCAACAGTTAATGACCGAATACGGCGAGGGCGTTGCTACAGCCTGGAGAGACGTCCGCGACATCCTACTTACTGCCTGATGTGCTGTTCAGTATCTCTGCTGTAGTGACAGGAATATCTCAATATTACCGGCTGACTGCCTTCTTTCCGAAAACTTTGGTCTTCAGTACACCAAAATGATGAGCGCATTATTGGTGTGAACAGTCGGAAGTTAGATAAACCGATTCAAAAGTGTTATCAGGCTCAAAGTGATTGCCCACAAATCTGAAAACGGCAAGAGTACGTTTGGAAGCATTCAGGTCGGAGACCAGTGCCTTATTGTTCAGAAAAAAAACCTCGACACGACGAGCCCCATGGTAGGATACAAAGGTGTAGTCCAGCTTTTTGACGAAATCATTGTGAGTCATAAGCATTGTGGAAATCTTTGTATTTTTGTACAAAAAAAGAAATACAAATAAAATAGCTAAAAATAGAAAGATGAATAGTTCAAACCCGTACCGTTTGTATGAGCAGATATGAAAAAAAGGAAATAAAAGATTACTCTTTTGCCGATAGGGGGGGCAATGGAATGATCTATTTGTTGAGAGGCTAACTGGCCCGTTTTCGCCTGTTATCCTGAGCTGTGGGTGGTAGAACAACAAAAACTGTGCGGCGTCGGCGACTGCGATTGCGGTTGATTGTATTGGGTACTGTGGTCGGGCAGAGTGTGTCATCGGGTGCGTCAGGGGGAATAATGCTCTCGTGGGGGGCTAGCTGGTCTTCTAGAAAGACGTTGGAAGTATCGGGACCAGTTGGTTGAACGTCAGAGTAGCCAGTGAGCCATCGTTCATCATAGTCCGGCAGAGGTTGACGAGCTCTATCAAAGGATAAGCCGCAGCTGTAGTCGGAATGGGCGGTTGCAACCGTCTGTCCACTGGCCTGTTCGCCGTTACCGTAGGGTCCGCAATCTGCCGATATATTCGTCATGTGAAGGCCGACACGGCTACGATAAGTGGAGGGGTA